GGATGGGCGGTTGGATGGATGGATGGATGGATGGATGGATGGATGGATGGATGGGTAGATGAATGGATGGTGGGATTGTTGGATGGGCAGGTGGATGGGTGGGTGGGTGGATAGATGGGCAGGTGGATGGTTGGATGGGTGGGGATGGGTGGGGATGGGTGGGTGGATGGGTGGGTGGGTGGATAGTTAGATGGGTGGGTGGGTGGATGGATGATGTTGATATTCAGAAAGCAAGTAATGGGGAAATATGTATATACAAAAATTGGCATGGTACTGCCCCTCCTAACCAACCTCCTTTACTTTCCTGTTACCGGGAAGTCCATAATCTCTTAGGCCAGATTGAGCAGACACTGTGTCATTGTATCTGCTCCTCCTCTCCTGCCCCCCATCCCTCTCCTAACTCATGCCATGCACTCCTTTCCTGGCCACCACACTGGGACCCTAACTGTGCTCTGCCCCTGGGTTTCTCTTGTCCCTTTCCTCCACACTCATTGCAGGTTTTATAGCTCTGGCCATATCTTTCCCTTCTGTGTCTTCCACACAATGAAATCCAAACTCCTCACATAATTTTTCAAATCCTCCCTGAATGGCCATGTCCAGCTTTCCAGGACCATCTTCTTGTCCCCCACAGAAGATGGGGGCCCTGCACCCCTCCCAGATCGCCCCACCCTCATGTCCTGGAACACCTGTCTCCTTATCCCCCTTGCCCGGTGAAAATGATGTCCCCTCCCGTCCGTCTCCCACACCCGGCTCCAAACTCGTCCCAAATCAGGAATGAAATATTCTTTTTCTGAAACACGGGGGCACTTCTTCCATCTCGGAGGGGTCCTCCATCCCTCTGCCTGTTCATACAGAACCCTCTGACCCCTGCCGTGGCCAACCCTGCCTTGGCACCTGCGACAGCACGATGAAGGGATGGCTGTGGTTGGGTAGGCGGCCATCCCTGCAGCAGAGGATTCTCTGCTGGGAAGCGGGGGCTCGGCCAGAGTGAGTCAGTAGAGTCTTTGTGGACGGAAAGCCCTCAGGCTGCAGGAGCGGCCCGGGCTGACGGAGGTGTGCTCCCGTGGGGCTGGGGCAGGGCACGGGCGGCGAGGGTGAGCTATGGCGGAGGATGGATCTTGAAGAGCCTTGAGTGGTGAGATGAGGACTCTGGGCTAACGGGGCGGGGGCGGACCGGGGTCATTACGAGCCGCTCATGCCGACTGGACTGCAAGGGCAGAGCTGACGTCCTGCATCTCTGCCTTCCCCGGACACGAGGCTCCGCGACACGAGGCTTCACAGTCCACGTGCTGCACACCCAGCTGCCCCGAACCGCCCCGGCCCGTGTGGTTGGAGAGGGCGGACAGACAGCGTGATGGGTGGATGGACAGTCACAGGCAGACAGGGACACAGGGTTTTTCACAGCCACCAAACGCCAGCCTCAGCCCTGCCCAGGTGTGCTTACTCGAACGCTGCTCCTTTTCGGTTTGTTTTGTGAGCGGATGAGGGAAGGAGCTCAGGTGAGGCGCCCGTCAAGAGCCCACTGCCCGCAGGGACCCGGCTGGCACTTGGGCCCAGGCCTTCCCACCCCAAGCCCGTCAGGCGCCCTCGGAAGTGGCCCTGCCTGGCTACACATGGGGTGGGGTGCAGCGGGCTAGGGGACATGCGGCGGGCTGGACAGATGGACGCGTTCCCGGGGCAGGAGTTGGAGCCAGCCCGCCCTGTCCCCACCCCCCACCCCCCACCCCCTGCCGCTCAGGCCAGAGACAACTCACCTTGCACCCCCTTCCCTGCAAGCCTCAAGCTTTTCCTGCCCTGGCTGTCCCCCAGGAAGGACGTGGGGGAGCAGCCCCGGGGGGGAGTCATTGCGGGTTCCCGTCTGCCCCTCAGAAGCACTAATTCCTACCCACCCCCACCCCAGTGCAAATCCGGCACCATTCAGAAATCTGTGACCTACCTACAACCTGCACCAGATGGGCCGGCCCCATGCCAGCCGGAGCCCACAGCCAAGCCAAGGCGGGGAGGGGACAGCTTCCGGACAGGAGCTCATGCCGCCAGACCCGTGTCTATAGGCCGCTGTCAGGGCCTGGCGAGGGACCCCCAGGGCAAGCAGAGCCCTGACAGCTGCCCCCACAATGCCGCCCCCATGGAGCCAGAGCTGAGGGCGGTCTGGGGCCTCCACCCCCAATCTCTAGGGCCCCCTCCCTTTGCTGCCTCCACAGCACACACAGGCACACACACTCGTGCACGCACACACACACGCACAGTCACACATACACCCATGCATGCACGCGTACTCACACACACAGCTGCACCTAACACGCACACACTCAAGCCCGTGACACACGCAACTCACGCGCACACAGGTTCACGCGTGCAACTATACTCCCACGTCCACACCGTACACACTCACGCTACAGGGGCACACACGCTCGTGAATACATACACACTCACACTCCCTCGGGCCCCGCACGGCGGAGCCCTGGGCCACAGGCCTGGAGGCGAAGGTGCGCCTGGCGGCAGGTGACCCTGACGGCGAGTCAGGAGGTGGGGAGAGCCAGGTGGCTGGGGTGCGGGAGGCCGGGGTGGGGGGGCTCAAGGATGCACAGAGGCAGAGCCGGCCGGGCTTCTGCCCTTCTTCCTGGGCCAGCCTCCCTGGCCTAGACCCTCCCCTCCCTCCGGCCCCCCCCATTCTGGCCCCACCTCACTGGGCGTCCGCCATCGGTGACGTGCACCTGGGCTTGGACCCGCAATCTGGGGACAGTGACGATCTGGCCAGACATGAGCCGGTCCCTTCCGGAGTGACAGGGAGATGGGTCCTGGCCGTGGGGCCCTTCAGTCCTTACACATTTGCACAGAGCTCCCCACTTCAAATGTGAGTGGGTCACAGCCTCTTGGTCCATTGTTTTCTGCCTTGCCCTGGGGACATGAAGCCCGTCTTCCTGGCACCCTGCTCGGCTCCCAGCCAGCCCCTCTCACAGCGGTGAGGGGCTTTTGGGAATTGTACCCACTCCAGGTTGGGCGTCAGGGGTGTATGGGACATGCTTGTGGCTCTCTGTCCCTGGGCACTCCGGCCACCAGGAGAGACTATCTAGAAACCGTGTGGGAGAGGGAAGGCAAAAAGCAGTGACTTGATCGAGACCCTGTGGGCCGTGGGCTCTTTCTGAACGCCTGCCTGATTTCAGGGCCCCAGGGAGGGTCTTGGAGAGGAAGGTCTCCATGCTGCTCTCCTGTCAACGGGGAAGGGCTCCAAGGGTCTTCATCGGGGATCTGGCTCCATCCCCGCCTCCCCAGGGACAGCTCGGCGACCCCCACCCAGAGGATAGGACATTGAGCCCTGGGTCTACTCTGCAAGGAGGAAGCTGGCTGGGTAGAGAATGCAGGCCCGGGGACCCCGAGCCCGGCAAGGCAGCCTGGAAGCTTCCACAGCTCAGGACTGGGAAGGGCAGCCCCTCCCTGCCGGCTCAGAGCTAGCCAACAGCCATGTGTCTCTGGATCCCACGAGGTGCCCCCACCTGCCCCCCGCTCCTCCGGCCCCCTCCCCTGCCCCACTCACTTTGAGGGAGTAGGCCAGCGCGATGAAGCCCAGGCAGCAGAAGTTGAGGTAGACGAAGTTGAAGATGGACCACAGGTAGTAATCGTTGACCTCGGTGGTGTCTGGGTAGACTTCGATGACCGTGGTGGGGTTTGTCATGGTCTTCTTCTCGGCGAGGTGCTTGCAGGCCTGGGGGGCGCCCGGGGCCCGCACGCTGTCAGCCTTGCTGCTCTTGGACTCCATGGGGAACAGGGTGGGCGCCATGGGGGGCGACGCTGAGGGCTCAGGGGCTGGGGCCGCAGGAGCCTGCAGGGCTGGGGGCTTGGACACGCAGGCAAAGCAACCCTTGGGTGAGCCTGCCGGGGGCCTTGGAATCCAGAAGGCCCCGTCCAGGGGTACTCGGGCTTCCTGGGCACCGTCCGTGGTGCTGGCCGGGGCTCCCAGCGGGGCTGGGCACTGGCCGGGGCCCTGGGCCTGGAGGGAGGGGGAGAGGAAGAACGTGCTGGGTCCTGCCCGCCCTGCAGGGCTTGCCCCGGTGTCCTGCAGCATCTCCTCTGCAGACTCACAAGCGGCCCCAAAGGAGACGGAAATCCCCACCGAGGCAGCCAGCTGCCCGCCTGCCGCCTGCCTCCCTCACCCGCCCCAGCCACCCCGATGCCAAAGCCCTTCCCAGCAGCCTTGGCAGGAGCACCGGGGGCTTTTCCTCACTTTGCCGTCTGTGCACAAACACTCACCCACTGACACACAACAGCGACACCCCCTATGCCCAGCAATGCCCCAGCCGAGAGGCTGTGCAACAGACAGAGCACACAGAGCCCCGGCACGCACAGGACATGCAGACCCACAATGACAGCGTCTCAGCCACGGTCTGGCAGGATGAGCAGAGCTCTCCGAGCACCGGCGGGCACGGCTGACACATCGGACCCCAAGGCTTGCCAGAACCCGGGGCACACCCCTGCGCTCAGATGCTTCCAGGTAAACAGCTCTGCACTGTGACACGCAGCGTGGACACACACAGCCACACAGGCTCGGAAGCAATCACGGGGGGATGGAAATGGCCACTGCGGGCGCCCCAAACCCGTGTGCGTCGTCCCCGCCCCCAACCGCTGGCCCAGAGCGGCTGCTGGGACCCCAAACGCTTGCTGGCAGGGAGCCCCCAAGCCCGCGCCACGGACAGACGCACAAGGACACTCAGCAAAACGCGCACTTCTCCAGGCAGGCACCAAGGCACCCCCGCGCCCTGTGCCCTCCCCCAACCCCGGGGGTCTGCGGTCACCTGGCTACCCGGCCCCGCGCCCTCACCTGCTGGTGACTCCTTGGAGGGTAGGCCAACCCCTGCGCCGCAGTCTGCGCGTCCTTCCGCCGGCCCGCCACTCGCTGTCTGCCCCGGCGCTCCGCGTCCCGGCGGCCCAGCCTCGGCGGGGGGAGCGCGCGGGGCTGGCAGCGCCGCTGTCCCCGCTCCTGCGCTCTCTCCGCAGCGCCAGGCCGGCCGCGCGGCTGCAGCTGGAGCCTGACTCACGGTGCCGGCGGGCGCAGCCACCTCCACGCCTCCTCCCGCCCGCAGGGTGGGGGCCGCGGGCGCCCGCCAGGAGCCGGACCCTCAGGGGCTACAGAGCAGGCGGGGATGGGTCCTCCTACAGTGCCACCCGGTGTCCCCATGCTGAGCCTCCCCTGCCTCCCTCCCCCTCCCTCTTGCTGGCCCCCCAGCCTCTCTCCCCACTGTCTCTCCAGGAGGAAGACCCTTCATCCTCCCGCTGTCCTCCCCGCCCCACCCGCATCGACCAGATGGCTGTCTGACCCTTCCCCTCCGCTGCCCCTTCTCCCACTGCCCAGTCCCTCCCCTCCCCACGTCTCAGTCCTCATCCCTCTTCAAGAACTAGTGCTGGCCTGGCTGGGCCCCCACCCTACACAGAGCCCAGGGACCCCAACCTGTACTCCTCCCCAGCACACCCAGGCACCTAGCCCAGCCCCCATCTGCTCTCCTGTGCCTGTGCACTCCCATCCCCAGCCCACCCTGCAGGCTCCAGGCCCCCAAATGGAGCATCTCTCTGAGCCCCACTCCACACCCAGCTCTGCACAGCCCAGCCCCTAACAGAGGCCCTAGCCCCAGAGGCTATCAAATCCAGCCGTCCCTGAACCTTGGTGGCCCCCAAGCAGCCCCATCCTTTCTGACCCCACAGAAACTCCTGACCCCCTTTCCCCGGATCTGACCCTACGCACCCCAGGTCAGACCCCTCAGCCTGACCTCCTGAATTTGCAGCCCTCGTGAGTCCAGTCTTGAAGGCCCTGACCCCTCACTGGTTGGCCCCCTCTGCCCATGGGGCCAGATGTTCTCCAAGCCCCTAATGGCACTTGTCTCTGTGGGGACAAGTCCACTCACCTGTCCATGTCTCTCTGCCAGTCCTGCCTGTCCCACCTGGGCTGCAACCCTGGCAGATGCCCCTTCCTCCAGCCAACACCCCCCTGCCCAGCCGCAGCCCCAGCCCCCTCTGGGAGCCTCCAGTCACTCTACACCCTCCTGCTCTCTCTCACACTTGTCCCGAGATGACCTCTCCTTCCCTCAAAAGTCCCAGTGAGTCCCATCAGCAAGGGAAAAGGAAGCCCTAATCCTCTCCGCCTCTCCCGAAGCCCTCCCCTCCCCGTGCGAGTGCCCTCTTCACCAACCCACCAGCCTCCACAGACCCCAGACCCTCCAAAGCCCCCCAGAAGCTGTGCCTGTGTGTGGTAGCCCTACACTTCCTTCCCCGCTTCCCCCAAGCCCCTGTCCCCTCGGGCCCTGGCTGCTCCCTAACCAGCCGACCTGCCTCTCCCATCTCCAGGAGCCTCTCCTCCAAGCCCGGGTCTTCTCAGGGGCAGTGCTCACCCGCTTATGCCTGGGCCTCTGCCGAGCCCTGCTCTCCCCAAACCTCTCTCTGAGTCTGAGGCCCTCTGGGAACCCCCTCGCTGGACAGGCCCCAGCTCCTCCCTGAGTCCTCCCCTGCCAGCCCCGCCCCCGGCCACCCTGGTCCAGCCTCCTCCATGGCTGTCAGGAACCCCAGGGACCTCCAGGAGGTTGATGAAGCCCCGTGAGTCGGAGAGGTCCCGAGAACCAGGGCCGCACCCCCATCCTGGCCACACCCTCGGCAGGGCCTGGGCCCGGTCCAAGAGCCCACAGGCATGAGCGAGGATGGGGACGATGGTGGGGACGAGGATTCAGTTCTCCCTTGCGCCGCACCCACCGGCCCCTTCCCAAGGGCCACACGTGGCCCGGACCCCGAGGAGGCCTCAGGCCGAGCCAGATGTGAGGAGCTCGCACCACGCCCCCAGCTCTCCCGCAGCTGGCCCAGCCCCACCTGCAGGGCTGGTGGGCCCAGGAGTGCGCTAGTCCTCAGACAGCAGGGGAGGGATGCCTGCTCCAGGGGCCTGCCCCAGGTCCCAGGGCGGGGTCCGGGCCCTCTGCTCCACACGGCCTTGAGGCTGCCTCTCAGGGCCCCAGAACCCAGAGCGGCAGGAGTGAGGGGAGGGAGCCTTAGCCCCCGCTGGCCAGGGTGAGGGAAGGCGCTCTACTCAGGCCAGGCATCCTCCGGGCAAGGGTAGAGGCAGGAAATGCCCACCGGGGCCTGCTGGACTGGTGCAGAGCGCGGCCGGCCAGCCAGGAGCGGGGCGGGTGTTGAGCTCCCCGTGGGGATGGGCCAGAGCGTCCTATCATCACCCACCTTCTAAAGTCAGACTAGAGGCTTGGGGTTGGGTCACAGAGCTGGATCTGAGCCGGGAGTCAGACACTAGGGTCCAGAGGATCCCAGCCAGCAGCCCAGGGCAGTTGTCCTGGTCCCGGGCTTGAGCATGGGCACCCGGATCCGTGGCCGGCTGGGGGCTGGAGGCTCAGCCTGGGCACAGGGCCACCCTGCTGTGCTCGCCCCCACGTTCCAGAGAGTGGGTGGAGGTGGCCCCGAGCTGAGGGTCACAATGGCAGGGCCAGCAGCGTGGGAGCTGCCCTCCAAGGCCCTGGCAGGCAGAGGCAGGTCGCAGGGCAGCCAGCAGGGACTGGAGGTGGGGGTGGGGCGGGGCTGTCTCCTTCCTGGCCGGCTCTGACTCCAGGTGTCCCAGGGCACAAAGGCTTGGAGGACAGCGTCTCCCCAGCAGCCCCGCCGGCTCCCTGCTCATGTTTCCAGTGCAGGGAACACAGGGCATGTGTTTATAAGCCTCCTTGCAAATCTGGTCGAATGTCTGTTGAAGGTGCCAGCTACGGCTTGGCTCTGGGGTGCAGTCCCTGCCCCCCCTAGGGCCAAGCCAATGAGAGCCACAGCACTGAAGGCCGGGAAGGCCCCAGGACGTTGACATCTGTCGTGTTTGCCATTTCCCTTACACCTGCGGGGGTGGCGGGGTGGGGGGCTCCAGGCAAGTGTCCAGAGTCACTGATCCCAGCGGGAATCATCCCAGTGACTCACAAACTCCTATTCATCCCTTCAAACCTCCTGGCTGTGCGGCTGCCTCTGGGCTGATGAGCCTAAGCCCCCCTCAGCAAACTCCCAAGAGGCCAGATCCACGGGTAGGTCACTGCAGTCTGAGGGGATTCCCAACTGGGACCCCTGAACCCCGAGACTCGGGCCCCCAGGCTGGCCTGCTCCAACATTTGCGCAGAGATGGCGTCCAGATGTGGCCAGGAGGCCCAGAAGGGAGGCAGGCTGCCCACTCGCCATCAGCCCTGCACCAGCTCGTGTCCTGGGCTCTCATGGGGGTCAGGGGACTGGGGAAGACCGGGGCCCCGCTGCTGGTGGAATGTCCGGGGAAGCATGGCAGACACGCACCTGGGCCACTCCCCTCGACCCGTGCCCAGAGCAGGCCCTGGCAACCTCGCCCGGCCCCACCCTAACCCTCCCGCCAAGGCCACATCCTGCGGCTCCAGGCCCCAGCCCTCAGGACGCGCCAGGCCTCTGCCAGCGACGCTGGGCAGCAAGCTCGTGCCTCCAGGATCCTCCGTGCAGGGCAGGGGGGCTGGGGGCTGGGAGCCAGGCACCTCCAAAGCTTCCCCCCGCCCCCCCCCGGCTGAGTCAGCCCTCGGGAACCACGGCCTCACACCAGCCACTCCAGCTCCTTCCCACGGCCAGACTTAGAACTGCCCTTCCCACCCAACAAAACACGCCAACACAGAAGAGAGAGGCCCAGACAACTGTATTTCCACGTTCACTTTGGCTCCTGGTCACGCAAGAGGGGAAAAGCTCACAGAAGGTGGCACCAGCCCCCCTCCTCCCCTTCTTCCCCAACCCGGCACCAGCAAATGCCCTCCTAGATGGGGTCGAGCCCCAGGAGGACCCCAAAGGCATCACAAGGCTGCCTTTTGTCCCTGAGTCCCGACCCTTCCAACCCCTTCCTGCTTGTCCTTAGGCCTCGGCGGGCCCCTTCCACGATGGGCCACGTGGGAAGACGGGCCAGCAGCTCCCCGCTCTGGACCCCAGGCCAGGCAGAGGAGAAGCCCAGAGAACAGCCTGGCCCGGGGTGGGGGCTCAGTCCAGAAGTCCTGCCTGGGCAGCCAGGCCCCCGAGGCATGGACTGGGGGCGGGTGGGGGAGGGGGTCCCAGGTGCAGGACGACGGGCGGCCAAGCCAGACTGGGGCTTCCCAGCTAGTGACGTGGCTCCAGACTCAAGGTCAGCCTAGTGGCTGCTGCCCCGCACCCCGCCCTCTACTAGACAGACAGACAGACACGCCAAGGCCAGGGAAACCACAGAACAAAACGGCAGCCCGAGAGCCTGGCGCCTGCAGAGCTGGGCTGAGTGTGAGTCTAAGCGTGAGTGTGTGTGGCAGGGGTGGCCGGGAGGGCGGGGGCGGCTGGCCTCCTCCTGCCGGACCCCTTCCTCCCCAGTAGGCGGGCAGCTAGAGCCTGGTGGCCTCGGCCAGGCCCACGCGGTTCTGGTCCCGGTCGAACACGGTGTAGTAGCGGCCGATGAAGACGTCCCCCAGGATCCAGAGCGGCCCGCCGGGCGGGGGGATGTCCATGCCCATGAAGCCACTCAAGCAGATGGTCTTCCCGCCCTGCGACACCTGGGCCGGACGCTGTGGTCAGCACCCGGCCCGCAGCCCCAAGGGCCTCCACCCCGCCCCACCCCGTGCCGGCCCCCGCTGACCTTAAGCGTGTAGTCCTCGGAGGACAGCTTGTAGGGTTTGCCGCCCAGCTGCAGGGTGACCTCGGGCAGGGTAGACACCTTCTCACAGGGGATCATGTACTGAGGGAGAGAAGACGGAGCAGCTCGGGAGCGCTGAGGGGGCGGCAGCGGCGGGGGCACCCCGTCCACGCGTCCCGGCCCGCTCACCTCGCCCTGGATCAGCGGCACAGCCCCGATGGCCTTCTGCAGCTCGCGCACCTCATCCACAGGGCCCACGATGAGGGACGTGCCTGTGTCCACGATGGCCTCGCAGCCCCCCTTGCACAAGGTCAGGCTGCTGCCCACGTCCACCCTGCAGGGGAGGGGGCGTGAGCACGCCGGCCTGGGCTCGGGCTCAGGGCGGGCCTTGGGGGACAGTCCTACCTCCAGGGCTGCAGCCCTGCTGGGACCCTGCCTTCCCCTCTCTGGCTGTGCGCAGTGGCGGCACGGACTCAAGAGGTCAAGCGCAGGTTAACTGCCGGCCTCGAGATCGCAAGCGCAGGGTCAGAGCCCAGGGGCCAGGAGCACAGGTGGGCACC